CTTAGTCTGGGGTAAGAGACGAAATATGCATTCTGCTGTCTTTTGAACCGTTATCCAAAGGTGATGCGGGAGTCTTATTAAACTCATCTTTTAGGAGACACAGAAACTTAAACTTGTTTGCCTCCCTCTCGTCTTCACACCATGTAAGTTTGAACTTGATCCACCTTTAGAGAGAATTCTGTCTAGACTAAATCCTCATCTAGGTCTTTGTGCTTCAGTGGGTCCCAGGTGTGCAGTCCCAACCACTCGAGGATGCGCTCACATTTCATGGTTCTTTGCTTATTGTACGTGCACCTGCAGCCTCCCTACTACATTGGAAGCTTCTCAATAATGGAATCCAGACCTCTTCTGCCCACTGCGTCCAGCACCAAGTGATACATGCGCTGGTTTCAGTAACTATTCATTTGAAATTATGAAAGTTGTGTATAAATTAAGGCTCAGTCGGTTGAGCTTCCGACTTCAGCTCAGGTCATGATCTCACGGTCCGTGAGTTCGAGCCCCAGGTCGGGCTCTGTGCTGACAGCTCAGAGCCTGGAGCCTGCTTCAGATTCTGTGTCTCCCTCTCTCTCTGACCCTCCCCCGTTCATGCTCTGTCTCTGTCTCAAAAATAAATTTAAAAAATTTTTTTTTAATTTTTTTAAAAATGAAAGAATTATGCCATCAGTAGGGGAAAAAAGCTCGAACTGGATAAGGTTAACTACATTTGTGACCCGGCATCATTTTAAATTGATGTTAAGAGCGCACAATGTTTCCTGAAATAAAAATATGATATATTTAATGCAGCAAAAGGTAGGGTATTGATGATACATTTAATTAAAATTCATTTTATGATCAGATATATTTATTGTTTATTTTTTAATGTTAATTTTCTTTTGTGGGGGAGGGGCAGAGAGAGAGGGAGACAGAGGTTCAAAGTGAGCTCTCCACTTTCAGCGGGGCTCAAACCCACAAACTGTGAGATCATGACTTGAACCGAAGTCAGACACTTAACCAACTGAGCCACCCAGTCTCCCCAATATCAGATATATTTTAATGTATGGGCTTGGTTTTTCTTTTATTCTGCTTTCCCTTTAAAAAATGGAATTTATATAACATGTAATTTGTCTAATATAATTACATAATTATCACAACAAATGCTCCTCAAAATAACCATGTAAGGATTTGAGATGATATGTGTTTATGTCTTATTTTTTAATTTTTTTCATCTTTTAAAATTAATACTTACATGTTTACATTGCTTTGGGGAAAAGGCAAAAATATGTTTAGCACTTAGAAGAGGAAAATTTGGCAATGCTATTTTTATACTGTCAAGTACTCTGCTATATCTACCGGGAGCTTAGATTTTAGTATGCAAAAAAGTAGCAAAAGTTACGATCATCAGTCTTGCCCTGGAAGATCAAAGTGTTTCTTTGTTGGATTAACTGTTCAACTAAGAAACCAATAAAGACCAAAATATAGTAGAGCAAACCCTGTCCTGGAATGTCATCTAGACAGAGTGGAATTTGTGTTCAGACACACAAGCGATTAACCTACCTTTATAAATATATTTGTCCTGTTTCCCTCCTACTTTTACCATTAAAAATAGTTTGTTATCGGTGATCTTCACAAAGGAAAAAACCCCCATCATCTTTTGTGATGAACTGGAAAAGCCAGTGAGCGTGTTCATTTAATTAGAAAGACTGTAATCTGCTTTGGAAACAAACAATGCAAATTTCATTTTGTTTGTTTTGAGGAAATTCTCAGATGAAATGGGCACTTCTGATGAGCAATGAAAACAACTAGGTGAAACTAATTCTGAGCATTTATATCATTTTAGTGGATTTTTTACAATTTTCTGTCTCTATATGCAATCCCATTAACCTGGCCCTGATTCTAGGGAAATGATTCAGATAGCCTTGATTTAAATTGTAATCTGTACTTCACTGAAGTAAAAACGGAGGCAGTTTGGGGATGATAGGCATCCCCAAACTTTCCCCAGGTAAACTTAAACTAATGAGAGGAACCACATCTTATGTATCCAAACAGAAAGCTTCCAAGAAGGAGCCCAGAGGCTGAATGGAATTGGACATAGGCGTGTGGTATGAGATAGCTTGAGTCTTATGAGATCTGATTCCAATATTGTAAACCAACCAGTGGTATCATCAGATTATTCTTAAATGTGAAAATAGAAAGGTTGAAATGAAAAGATATGTACATCCATTGCACAAAAGTGTTGAGCTCTGAATGAATTTGAATATAATTTGAGGTTCACATATTTTTCATATGAGTAAACTAAATATCAGTGCAAGTTCTACAAAAATAAAATGTCTGAAGAAAAACGCTGAAGTAAAGTCATGAGTTATACTCTTATAATGCAACCATGAACCATTTTTGTGGGCTCTAAATGAATAATAGCTATACACTTGAACACAACGTGCCTTTACATATTCAAATGAGGAATAAAACACATAGCATTTTAGAAATAAGGAAGGAGCATGACAAGATGTGTTTTTAAACCTAAGCCTTTACATTTTATTTTTACTGTAGCATTAGCGATAGTCTGAGCAATTAACAAAAAAAAAAAAAAAAATGAGACTACGCATTATTATTCAACAATACATGCCTCTCATTTGTAACGCTGTGTGAAGAGTACAGAAGGCTGGAAAGTTCCAGCCTTCGTCACACTTAGTGAATCTAAAATAGACGAGATAGTATAAAATTCTAGATGTATTCTCTCTGAATTAATTTTTATAACCCAACTGAATAAGGCCTCTAAGATATGTAAATCCTAAACACTTCAGAAATAACAAATCATTTCATCATGGAAGATTATTGGCTTAAAGAAATGAACATGAAGACTTTACATCTTTATACTGCTCACTATTAAACAGGCTCCTGAAAATGTTTTCACTCGGTGCACTCTAACCTCAGGTTAATGCTGCCAAAATACCTATGCTTTTATCCATTTCTAGAGGGGGAAATTCCTCAAGAATGAGGTCTTTTTCTAAAGAGCAGCAACGTTGCTAGATTTTTACTGGTAAATCTAACACTTCTCCTAAACAAGGCAACATCTCCCATGAGTGTGAGTGTGTGTGTTTGTGAGTGTGGGCGTCTAAGTGTTGGTTAGGGGAAGTGGGGGTGAGGATCGGCTCTATGACGTAGATATGATCAGGAGCCTGAGCAAACAAACAGAGAAACAGGCTCAAAAGACGTAACGTAGTCAGGGCTGGATGACAAATAGAAAATGCAACCATTCGTCAAAACGCTTAACCTGCAATACCAAGTTCAAGATGTCTAGAAATACAGGTGTTTGAAAATGTACGTGGGATTTGTTCCAATCTAGTATGGTAAGCTGGCAGACATGGAGACACCTGCCTTGAAATAAGACTTTCATCTTATACATTGCTTCTATATCTTGGCTATTGTAAATAATGTTGCAGTAATCATAGGGGTGCATATATCCTTTTGAATTAGTGTTTTCATTTCCTTGGGGTAAATACCCAGCAGTAGAATTACTGGATCGTATGGGTCATTTTGATTTTCTAGAACTCATTATCATTATGTTGAAATAGACAACATACATAATCACACATAATAACTTGTTATTTGTAATTAATAAATTAAACTAATTCCTAGAACTTAAATGTGCCCAATTCATAGAGATGAAATTAATATCTGTATTTAAGTATGCTTGATGACCATATATTAGTATTTAATATATATTAGTATTTAATTTTTAAAAAGCACCGTATAAGGGAATGGCTAATAATAAAGTTGCTCAAGTCAGAGAGAACCAAATTCAAGCCCCGATGGTTCCTACTGCAAGAAACTTCACTGGGCCAGTTTCCACATTTGTGTAATGGAGCTTTTAATAAGTACCCCATAGAGTTCATGTATGATTTAATTGGGCAATACTGGGATAGTTCTTAACTTAGTGCCTGGATTATTTCTTTAGGATTTACGGGGAGGAGGAGGAAGAGGGGGAGGAGGAGGAGAAGGAGGAAGAGGAGGAGGAGGAGGAGGAGGAGGGGGAGGAGGAGGACTTAGGTCAATGAATACCAAACTATTATTTCCACCAGGCCTAATTTTTTTTTAAATTCTTGTGGCACCCCTAAACAGATTCACCACAGAAAGACACAGAAGCTTAGGCAATTGTCTCCTCCTATTTCATCTTAATTGTCTGAAATTTTTTAATGAAATGCTTGGGCCAGGACTAGCCAGAAAATTGCTTCCATTGGAACAACTTTGTCTACCAAAGTAGTCATAGTTATTGTATTTAACTAGGTATTTACCACAAAACCATGGAATGGCCAGGTTCATGCACAGCCCCGCCTGGAATCACTACATATAAAAGGGCGTTCTCATCTATCTCATGGGTGGGCCCAGGGGGATTGGGGGAAACATAGGATTTATTCCATCAGCCCCACAAATGTCATCCAGTTCACTCTTCACAAGCACACCCAAAGATCTTTTCTCTTTTCTTCTCCATCTTCTGAAAGACTCTTTAATTTGTATTTGTTTCCCACCATTCTCTATCTTCTATAAAGGAATTCTTTTTCAGGGGACGGGGGGAAGATGCAAAGTAGGGAAAACAAAATAGAGAAGGTTCAAGTGAAGTGTTTTGCTGTATCCAACCCTTGGCAATGAGGTTATTTCTCAAATTTACATAAAGACTCATTATCGTATTGGCTGCAATCATGTAGAAAATGAATGGGGTATAAAGTACATGAGGATAATTTCATAAAACGAGCTTTCTTTTCTTATGAAATCTTTGAGGAAGAGAATCATTAGACAGAGACTTGCCTTGTATTCACCCGGGTCAGGAGGCATGTCAGCCTGATGATGTGCCTTTGGCAAGAAGTCCTTAATTAGAAATTCCTCGAGAGCAGCTCCCACTAGGTGCTTCCTAAGACAAAAAGACAAAATAGTCTACCAGGGAAGCCCTTACTCGGGATACAACATCCAGGCTCAGGTGAATGAAAGAAATAATTTGCTGACAGCAAAAGAGCAAAGCTGTCGTGATGGCGTTCTGGATTTTGAATGAAAGTCTCTCCATCCTATTAGGAGTAAGTATCATTTTTGTTATTCAAGTTAAAATATATATATGAACTAGTCTTTGATTTTTAAGATTGTATAGGAATGCTAAATAGCTTGAAGTATTACTTTGGTAAAAGACTAAACCTTGTTAGAAAACATTCAGTAGATATATTTAATTTACCCTTACAGAATCATGTAAAGTTGTTTTTCGATTGAGTTCATTTTTAATTATTTTTGAAGTCAAGTAGTTAGTTTTTGCATAATGTATGAACCGTTTCTTAAATCAAATGAAGTCTTTGAATTAGACTATGAAATTGGAATTTTTCTGGAGTACTTTCTGAGTTGTTTTTAAAGATTTCCTCCTTTCGCCATCATTGACTTAAAACATTAGAGCAATGTTGATTAGGAAGGCTTTGTAATTTTCATTAAATGCCTTAAATATACCCGTATGTGTTTAGAAGTTTTTTATAAAGTTAACAATTTATTACTATTGTAATCAACTGTTAAAACGAATATATGGGAAATAAGTATAGAGTAAGTCTGATTAATATTGAGAAGCTCTTCATTTCACCCTTTAAAAGAAGAACCCCAAGTGATTTTGAACGGAAGAAAAGATTGAAGATAGTATTGATTGGTCTCTTTTCATTCAACACTAGCTCTCGTGGCTGGGAGTGAATTTATATCTGTTTATCGACACATTCTCTTGGTATGAAGAGGAAGAGTCTTTCCTTTACACACGAGTTATTCTGGGCGTAAGTAGAGCTGGGGACTACACATTATCGTTTCGAAAAACATTCCATCTTCCCCAGCGTCCTTACTCTCAGTGCATCTCTCTTGTGTCTTTCTATGTGGACAGTCAACACTGGCCTGGGCGCGAGCGTCTGCAGTGTGCCTCAATTTTAACTGCATGCTAATTCTCTTACCGATCAGTCGAAACCTTATTTCATTCATGAGAGGGACAAGTACTGTAAGTACTAAACTACTTAAAATAATTTCAGTTGTTGTGATTTACCGGTGTAAGTGCCATGAAAGACAAAGATGTACTTTACTGTGAAAGTCCTGATAATTCACGTGGGGACTGAAGTTTGTTTCTTCGTAAGAGAGGACCCAATGGCAAAAACCAAAACTCAGAAATCTGTACATTTGATGTGACTTTCGTTCTTGCCATTCACTCCCTGCTTGACATTGGAGTCTTTGCTCAGCCTTTCTCCGATATATTTGCTCCGTCAGAAAAAGATGGCTGATAAAATTGGCCTGACTCACTAAGACGGATGTATTATAACAGTTTGAACTACCACGATTTCTAATTGAAAGGAACCAAAAGAGCAGTGGAGTCAAATGCCACTAAGGACACATCTCTCTGAGCTCTCGGCCCAGGAATACACAATCATAGTACACAGAATTTCGTAGGTAGGTTTCATGGGACTTAAATCTAGTACTTAAATCATAGTACACAGAATTTCGTATGTAGATTTAATAATTTCCTAATTATATTAGCTTCACTGTTTTGGATACTGTGTTTCCTGCTAAACAGCGTAATGCGCTGTACAGAAAAATGAGAATTTCAATAACTCTGACTAGATGAAATGATTATACAATCGTCATCATAATTTTATGAGTATTTAGATATAGATGAACATAATGCCTTTCTTTGTGTCATAAGGAATACTTTATAGACTACTTAAACCACATCTATGAGGATGTTGGTTTCCATCTTCATTTTGTAAACTAGTGGCCGCATGCATATTTGCAGGTTTATTCTAGAATTTTGACTTATAGCCAGGGAACTATACTTACTTACTCACTTAACTGACTTGAAATTTCAGCAAAGCCAGTAATAACCATCTGGTTTGTCCTTTGGGCTGATTAATGGCCGCTCCCTTCTGCACCCCATAGCCCCACCTTCAGGAATTTAGAGGCAGAGCCTGAGTCCTGCTCTCTTACCACTCAGGATGCTGTCATCGCTATGATTTTTCCTTAAAATGAGACTTTTACTTTATGTCACTCTAGTGCTGCAGAGGACCGTGGAGGAGGCAATTAGACAAAAACCTCAAATTCCACAAACTGGTCGCCTATGGGATAGCCATTAACGCAAGTAAGTGTTTCTTATTCTTCTTTGCCCAGTGGATGTTACCAAACCTAATGCTTAACTTGATAGCTTTGTTTTAATTTCCCCCTCCGCCAAAGGCTCACCCTTAAATAAATCTTTGCATTCCATTTGACCAATAAAACTTCCATAAAAGGATTTTTTGATTTCTAATTTATACTCACGCAGTTTTCCCTACCAAGCCTTCAATTTGGCAAGGAAAAGTTTATGAAACTTCATTTTCATTTGTAAAGAATTAAGCTTGTTGATAATACAACAATAAGTACCTGCTTGCAAAATGAATACTGTGCTATTCAATATAATCCACACTGGAAAGAAAACTGACCTGTACTCAAAAACTCATTCACAGTCATAGCAAAATGACGGTCAAATGGTATCATAGGCAGTAAAAGCAAAGAGAAAAGCAAGATCAAGTGAATAAGGTTCTGAATAGCATTGAGCTAGTGGATATAAAGGGACCTTGGAAAGATATGAAGCTTTACAGCATATAAAGTGTTATTGTTATTTCTTGAATAAGAAAACAAGAGAATTCAAGAGAAAGGCAATAAAAATTAGCATCCAAGGCCAGGGTTAAACCCTGGTGAGGAAGAAAAGAAGCCGAGCGATAACCGACTCGTTTGTGGTTTTGTTGGACGACAAACACACTGAAATAAAAGGCTATCTGCACAATTAAGAGTTATGGTTCAGGACTGTTTCTCTCAAACTAATTTAACTATAAAATGTTTTCCTCATTTGTTTTCATCCTCTCATGCATAAAAAATAGCAGAGTAAAAAGAACACTCAACACAAACGTGGATTTAATTAAGCAACAAGACATGACAGACAGTGCCCGAGTGCCAATTAACACAACTTCGGGTGTGCGGAGAAGTTGTGGGGAGATCTCCCCATCGATTGTCTTTGGTGCCAGATTAAACCAACCCGGGAAACATCTGCGAAAGGTCTTTGTGGTTTGTTAAGAAATAAGGGTAAAAAGACACTGTGTCCTAGAGAGAAACCGGGCAAGGGAAGGAGAGCAAAAAAACAAGTTAATGCGTCTTTATGTCCCAAGGCTACCATAGGGCTGAGTCCAGAGAGGGGTCAAAAACCCCTGACAAATGAGTTGACGCATGAAGCAATGAAGACCCAGGGAAGCAGATTTCAGCTCAGATATGGAAGTGTTTTCCGGACCTTCCAAATTATCTAAAATTAGAATGAGCATCCCTGAGAATACAGAGTTCCCTGTCATGGGTCGTGTCAGAGTGGAGTCCAGATTGCTCCTTGCAAGGCTCTTCAGAGAAAGAATTCAAGGAATCTCAAGGCTTCCTTTAAAATTGGGAAGGCTTCCTTTAAAATATTCCTAAGAATATTGGGGTGCCTGGGTGGCTCAGTCAGTTAAGCACTTGAGTCTTGATTTCAGCTCAGGTCATGATCTTATGCTTTGTGAGTTCAAGCCCCGCATCAGGCTCTGTGCTGACAGCGTAGAGCCTGCTTGGGATTCTCTCTTTCCCTCTCCCTTTGCTCCTCCCCTGCTTGCTCTCTTTCTCAAAATAAATGAATAAACTTAAATATATACATATAATCTTAAGAATATTTAATCCCTGCATTAAAAGAGGAGATAAAACACAGTAAAATGGTGGGAAGAATATTATCACTACGCAAGAGGTTTAAGGCAGAACTGGACTCTAAGAGAGAGAAGGAACCAAAAAACCTACAGCATCAAAACACATCAGAAAAGGAAGCAAAAAATAAAAGAAAATATGTTATGCAATAGTTCTCGCCTTAAACCTTTGGGTATGTATATTTCTTTCCATGTAATCAGGTATCAGTAGAATAGATGCATCAGTGATGTATGTCGAATATCTCCCGTGTTCAAGATACACTAAGAGAAGCTGTAACCTGAAACGACTATAGTCAGTACTGTTTTCAGAATGGAGTATAATTTATTTTTTTTAATTTTTTAATGTTTATTTATTTGTGGGAGAGACAGAGTGTGAGCAGGGGAGGGGCAGAGAGAGAGAGGGAGACACAGAATGTGAAGCAGGCTCCAGGCTCCGAGCTGTCAGCCCAGAGCCCGACGCGGGGCTCGAACTCACAAAACGTGAGATCGTGACCTGAGCCGCGGTCAGATGCTTAACCGGCTGAGCCACCCAGGGGCCCCAAGAATGGAGTGTAATTTAGCAAGGGGAGCAGTTTACTGGAATCAGATGACCACATTATTTCATACCCCTGCTGCTGACTGGTCCTGCGATCTAAGTTTTTGTGTGCCTTTTCCTCGCTGGAATTAAAAGAACAATAACACAATCGACCCATCAGGAGATGTGCAGACTGGTTGCCAGGTAGGCCCTCTTGGAAACCTACCCACTACAAGGTCATTCACTGGCCACTCTTGCACAGAGAGTCAAACCCAAGGGTAGGATGGCCTGCATGCTCCCTTCAGTGAGCGCTGCCTCCTCCTCCTCTCTCCTTTCTCTCCACACCCCCCTCGCTTCTCCCCATTGGCAATACACAGCCACTGGGTCCCTGAGTGGTGGGTGCCTTTGTCCCTGTTAAATGCTTTTCCTTTCCTCCCTCAATGGCGAAGACGTTGCCATATCCGGGCCTCCTCGCCCGCCTGCCTCCCTCTGGGCCACCTTTCCTGCAGACCTCAGTGATGCCTCCCTGCCACCTAGGAAAATTTCTCAGACTCCGACGGCCTGGGGGGCTGAGATGTGTCTTCTGCGTCTCGGCTTTCCCGGCCCCTGGCACGTATTAGGTCCCCACCAAGTTGGGTCAGACCCGAGGATGAGCTGGAGTCGGCCAGCAGGCAAAAGGGAGGAGGGGGATTTGTGAGAAAGGTACAAGCCGCGACAGTGCAGAGGCTCAAGGACCCAGCAGCAGCTGGGGTGGAGGAAGCACAGCGTGTGGGCAGGGAAGAGATTGAAAATGATGCCAGTGGGCTCGTCCCAGATAAATTCACATTCTGCCGCAACCAGAAGAATTGGGACTCTCTTTCTCCCTCCTTCCCTCAGAAATCCCTGGAGAGAAGGAAGTATCCCCTCGGGCCCTCTTCTGCTTGAACCCCCACTGCCTTGTGGGGCTCCCCAGCCCCCCCCCCCCCGGGACTCCCCGGCAGGGTCAGACTGCTTCTGAGAGCCAAGGGCTCGTCCCCCACCGCCATGGCAACCAGCAGCGCGGGGCTGTCTCCATCCCCGGCAAAGGCAGGAGGGTGGGGAGAAAGCTCTCTGCTTCTCCCAAGCCCTGACATAGCAATTATTACATTTCACACTCACTAAGAAATGCGGCTGGCAACTGCGCTTTTAGAAGGAAAAAAAAAAAAAAAAAACATGCTAAGCCCTGGTTTCGTAGATATCCCTGTGCTTTTCACATTTTGTCCTTCTGCTGTATTCACTTGGGAACAGCTGAAAATGTCCCCGTGCTTATTTTATTAGCATCGCCCATTATGCTGCTTTTCAAATAGCCGACTGGCTTAATAGAGGTGTGTAACCTTGGAAGAAGTGCATCCACATCGAAGTTTGCATGCCAGCCCCTAATTTCTCACCCGTTCTTCTGTAAGCTGAACTGCAGGCTTTAACTGGTCAAATCATTAAAGGATGTAATTAGAGGCTGGTGGAAGGAGGCTGGGGAGGAGGAGGGGAGAGGCAAACTATCTATAATCAAGGGCATCACGGAAAACGCGGTGACAGGAACCCTTCTTTTGGCTTCCTGCCTTCCCGCTCGCCTGCCTATGATAAGAGCTGCAGGAGCAATTCTCCAACCGCTAATAAATCATTTGCAGGGACCTGTAACCCCAGTGGTATAAAAATCCCAGTATCACAGCCTCTTCGTTCTTATTAACGTGGATCTTTTTGGACTCTGCGGTCCACAGCAGACCTTCGAGATCCTTCCAGCTGAACAGTAGTACTGTGAGCCTGAGCTTCCTTCAAAGGGAGGGGTGTAAATACTGACCCAGGCGGCATACATCCAGTAGGCGCCAGGGGTGTGCAATTACCCACGGGCGGCTCCTGATGAGCTGCTAAAATTAGTTTACAAACCTCAATAAACATAAGAGGTGCCAGAGGGAGAGGGGGACAGAGGATCCGTAGTGGGCTCCACCCTGACAGCAGAAAGCCCGATGCGGGGCTCGAACTCACGAACTGTGAGATCGTGACCTGCGCTGAAGTCGGAAGCTTAACTGACTGAGCCACCCAGGTGCCCCCTGTCTAACATGATTTAAATGAGTAGCATGCACGGGGTGCCGGAACCTATGTAGTCCCGCAGAAATCAGTCCACAAGCTTGAAAGTTTGGGGGGCCAAGGCTCTGGCTGGTAAAGCACAGCCAGGATTTGTCCCTGGGTCCTTATTTCCGAAGGCTGCTTAATTAGGAGGTGACTAACTCCAAAATGACTGTTATCACTGACAGGCAGGCAGAAAGATAGCAAGAACTGACCGCCCTTCCAAGATTCTCCCTCAATTATGCTTCCTTTGATCTCCCAAAAAATGAAAAGAAGGAAAGAAAGAAGGAAAAGAAACTTTCTCAGGGCAACTGGCTCTAATTGTAGCCTTTATGATTTTTTTTTTTTGTTCATTCTTCAATGAAAGCTCCTTATTTGAACTCAGAAGTCCACACACCAATTAAATGTGCATTTTGTGGCTTGTCCAAGACCACTGCTCTCTTTTAACTGTAGAAGTCCTTTGGTGAGAAAATAGGATTGTGGAAAGACCCGGTGACAGCATCTGTTAGCCTGGCCTTTGGGCGGATTCTGGAAATGTGTGTCTTAGGCTCTCCCATGAGCTCAGCAGAAAGTCCTCAGAGGGGCCAGGGTGAGCACACCTGCATAACTGATGGTATCGAATGTGCCACAAAACTTAAAGAGCCCCTTTAAGCCAGTGTTGATTTTGAAAAATTATTAAAACATGCGTTTCGTGTTTGCATGGCTTTCACGTTGGACTACAGATCCCTTTGGGATGATAAATGGTCCCAGTCAACTTCAAAGGAGACGCGGGAGCCAGAGAGCTGGCGGGAAGCCGAGATATTGCCTGGTTTCAATCAATGCACCCATTTTACAGATAAGACAGCAGGCTGAAATAAATGAAGTAACTGAGAGGCAGCCTTCTCGTGTCCTTCTGGCTGTAGCAAATCTAGTTTGAGTAGCCAATCTAGTAACATGACAGGATTCTGATGAGTAAGAGAGGGGAAAATCGAACCATATCACTATTTGATCACATACTGGAAGCAACCAGCAGATGACATGACTACCCACATTAAAATAACTGAGGTGTGTAAAGGGAAGGGAAGACTAGAAAATAGAACATACAATGTCTGGAAAAAAACACAGCCAAGTCAGTATCTCCTGGGTTACCTATCCAGCCCCAGCAGCCATGGAGTTGGTAAGTGGGATACCTTAAGTTCCCAGCCAAGATCACAATAAAATTAGGGTCAGACCTAAGAGGAAATAAAACGTTTGGACAAACCAAGTGGCACAGGTAGTTTTCCCTCTGAGAATTCCTGGGATAAATAAAATAAGATATTCTACTTTTTATCTTCTACGTGTAAAAAGAAAACGAAATGGAGGTAGTTAGAGCAAAGGAGCATTTAAGACATGAATTTTAAAGTACATGAAAACAAAAAAAAAAAAGCTAGAAAGAGTAGTTTTCAACATATTCCCTCAGGAGCTACCTCTTAAAAAGCATCTTGAGTCTTCTCATACTATTTCATTAGTTTCTTCAGCTCTGTTATGGGAGACCTGGCAATAAGAGTAAATAACTAGTTCAATATCTTTGCTTATTCAATAAGTGTACTTAAATTTAGTTTAACAGTGTCGAATTCTCATGTGGAAATCAATCTAATAGAAAATAGATTGTGATCAACAACTTCTTACCCAGGAGAAGGATGTTATAGAATGCAGAATATCAAAGACACAGAAGCTATCCTGTGTTTCCCTTCTGACTGTCACATGCGGATTATGGAATTGTAAGTGTTGTCACTTAATTTGGCTTGAAGCTCAGTATCTGCTTGTGTAAAGTGGGGACAGCTCCTCTCTGGTGTGCTTTAGTCCATGGAGGAGAACTGAGGACAGCCAGGGGCAGAGGGTAAAGGGCAGAGAGGTAAAGGAGATTTTCCACCCACCTGCAAGGAGAACTCCAAAGGTTGTGATTATTCTTATGAGCTAGTTCACTCTAGATTAAAGACACCAAGTGAACCATTCAAAGAGCTTTAGCTAAGCCCGCAGGAGAAATTAGTTTTCAGTGAACAATAAAGTATAACAATTATGAATCAGTGAAAAGAAACAATATAACTTAAAGGTCAAAGATTGAGCTCTGGGGCACCTGGGTGGCTCAGTTGGTTGAGCATCTGACTCTTGATTTTGGCTCAGGTCATGATCCCAGGGTTGTGGGATTGAGCCCTGAGTCGGGCTCCACACTGAGTGTGCAGCCTCCTTACGATACTCCCTCTCTCCCTGTGCCCCTCTCCCTGCTCGCGGGCTCTGTTAAAAAAAAAAAAAAAAAAAAAAAAAAAAAAAAAAAAGAGGGGCGCTTGGGTGGCTCAGTCGGTTAAGCATCCGACTTCGGCTCAGGTCATGATCTCGCGGTCCGTGAGTTCGAGCCCCGCGTGGGGCTCTGTGCTGACAGCTCAGAGACTGGAGCCTGTTTCAGATTCTGTGTCTCCCTCTCTCTCTCTGACCCTCCCCTGTTCATGCTGTCTCTCCCTGTCTCAAAAATAAATCAACGTTAAAAAAATATATATAAAAAAAAGAAAAAAATTTTAATGGGCCCCCGATTCAGGCAAACAGGGTTTTATCCCACCTTTGCTGTTAATGGTCTACAACTGCCTGAACTTCTTGAATACTGGTCTGTAAAATGGCAATAAAACTGATACCTGAGGATTAAATGAGGTAATACGCATAAGCATTTATAATGGTGTTTGAAGTATACTAAGTATTCAATATCTGCTAGCCATGAGAAGTATTACCTATTGCTTTTTTTAAACTTTAAGATAATTACCAGAAAACAGCAATTAGGAATACTGCTGAACATGTTTGTGTTCAATTTAGCAACTAGTTTCCATTTCATCTTGAGCATATTGGAAGAGATGGTTACTAGACAAACTTTCTAGCTTCGTGGATGCTGAGACTAAACAAGGCAGCTCCTTCACAGACACACCACATATAGTGACAAATGGAACACAAGGAAGAAACACAATGCCTTTTGGGTGCCACTCTCACAAAACCCATAAGGAGAGAGTCAACATCATTGACTCAGAAATACGATCATGCGCTTTGCCTTCTTAGATGAACTTCAGCCAAAAGCATGTTCAAATTGAGTTCTGACGTGAAGGCTGCAGGAAAATGTTCACAAAACAGGTATTAGCACTACCCCATCAGCATCGGCAGACAACCTCCTGACCCTTTCTCTCTTTCTAGCTCATTATCACTCCGCAAATCCTTATTAAGTACATACTGGTAGTAAGCAACGTGCCCAGTGTTGATGTTTCGAGGTGAATAAGCCTTGAGGCGTCAGGTCCGTGGGGCAACATAGATGTAAATAAATATTCATAACAATAATTCCTGGGAAATGTTATAGTCAAGGTATCATTGGTGCCTGTGGACCTGACGAGCAATTTCATAGAAAACAACTTTTGGGTTGGGTCTTAAAGCATGAATACAACTTTGCAGCCCAGAGAAGGGAATGGCTCTGATCGAAGGAATTCAGGGGGCAGGGAGAAAAGCTAAACAGCTGTTGGTATTTCTAAATAAATCTGCTGCTACAACCACAGAGACCAACATGCTACCAATATTCTCCGAAGTTTCTGCTGTTCCTTTCTCCTTCACTCCCCCACACCTCAACCCACCATGGGTAGTCATGAAAGATTCCAGAATTTGCATACAATGTGTGGAGACTATATAATATATTAGCCAATTCTACTTTGTGTGGTGGACGGGGGTTCAGGGGGGCAAGGTAGCAACTGGGAAGCTATCTACACCCTGGGTAATGAATTCTCATTTCACACTTGAATCTGATCCCAGGGGCTGGTATCGGCAGGTCACCCAGTAGGGCTTCCATTTGTAGGGAAAGCATCAGGAGATCCTCGTCTGGGTGTTGTGACTGCTAGCTTCCCCCCAGATTTCACAAGACAGGGAAGAGTGGCATTGAGCACAGTCTCCTCGGGCTAAATGATGCTGTGTTCCCAAGCTTGTTCTCTTCATTTAAAATTTAAACATCACAAATTCTCAGAATTAGAAAACCGAGTTTTCTTCTGAAGAGTACACAGAGAGGATTAGTTCTATAAATACCAGTTTATTTTGATCCTCTAGGAATAACACATGCAAATGTATTGTGTATATGCGTATGTGTAGGAGTACATATACATATATGCTAAAATGTATAAAGGAAGAATAGAAAATATAATGTCTGAAAGCGAACAAAAACTCTTCCCTGGAATCTATCATAGATGTCATATGCACACATGTCCATGTATATGATATACAGTATCCTAGGATAATGCTCTGTGATTTCTTGGAAACTATATTACATAAGATATAAAATATGGAATACGTATGTGTGTATATATATATATCTCACAGGATATGTTCTATACAAAATATGGAGTTATATATACAATGGAACATATAGGTAATTATGTTGTGATATCCTAATACCTATTCCACTTGCAGAATGAGCACGTTTATCATTAAATTATGGTGACTTAAGATTGACTTCATTTCTTCCTATCATTAAAATGGATGTGGTGAATCATACCATATCTTTAGAAGTAGCCAATCCACTCCATTCAAGACACGGTGAAAGATGCACAAATAAATCACCCTTTGGAGATGACAAACACCAGAGCAGAGAAAGTTGACCGTAGAGACATTGTGTCGTTGAGTAACCACAAAGGAAGAAATCCAGATGGCACATGTCTGATGTCCTCTCCTCGACCGTAGCCATCCACATCGTGGCACATTTGTGCAACCTGGAGCACTATCGCTGGAGCCAGTCCACGGAAGCGGAGGGACTTCTGGCCGCACTTGCCAAGCTTGGCAAAACCCCAAATGAGAGCTACCTCAACCCCATCCGGACCTTCCACACAGTGAGTCCTTGCAGGCTCCCGGGTTTCTCATCTGAAACACCCTTCCTTTCCCGATCCCTTGATCGGAAGCACTGTGTTTCAAAAGCTTTAATCAAAGAGCTGGAGAGAAGTTTCTGCCAAAGCTATTTTGAGGGGCACGTCGGTGGCTCAGTTGTTTGAACGACTGACTCTTGATTTCAGTTCAGGTCATGATCCCAAGGCTGTGGGGTCGAGCCCTGCATGGGGCTCCACGCTGAACGTGGAGCCTGCTTAAGATTGTCTCTCTCTGTCCCTCTGCCCCTTCCCCCACTTGCATGTGCTTTTCTCTCTCTCTCTCTCTCTCTCTCTCTCTCAAATTAAAAAAAAAAAAAAAAAGATATTCTTGAGGCGCCGGGGTGGCTCAGTCGGTTAAGCGTCCAACTGCAGCTCAGGTCATAATCTCCCAGTTCGTGAGTTCCAGCCCCACGTCAGGCTCTGTGCTGACAGCTCAGAGCCTGGAGTCTGCTTGGGATTCTGTGTCTCCCTCTCTCTCTGCGCCTCCCCTGCTCACGCTCCGTCTCTGTCTCTTGAAAATAAATAATTTTTAAAGGTATTTTTTTCGTAAATGTTGCTAAGAGTTTATAAGCAGGAAGAAAAACTGATGCCCCTTAATTAATGTATATCAAAACATAATAAATAAACCCAAATAGGAAATGCAGCCACTTATTAGAACCCTGACATTTTACATTTTAAAGCAGCTCACGATTACGTATTTTGCTGTTGTTGATGGTAGCATCATAAAGAATGTGAAGTGCCATCTAAATCCAGGGATTATAAATTGGATGTCTTCATTTTCAACTTGCAAATTGCTTTTGGATCTCTTCTCGTGTGTCATATTTTGGCACACATGTGCCTGGCTGGTCTGCCAAATCAGATGCTGGGCAAAGCAGCTAATTTCATAATCAGACCTGCATGGCTAGTAACATCATTAATGCTAATTACCTGTGTGCCCAGAGTGGCAGCACATGTGAGAAACAAAAAGAAAATGAAAAACGTAACTGCAGAGACCCACCTATCGAGATTAAGACAATCCTCTCCCTTCCATCCGCCACCTACCCCTTTCTTCCCGGTTGACCAAAATAGTTGAGCACGTACTGCCCTGTTGGAATATGTATCCAACGTGGTGACCAGGCTAACAAATCAGTATTGCCCAAGAAGACCCCTAATACAATGTACTCCCGCAACGGAAAACCCTCTGTTACCATCTGAGCCATCTCTTTCATGACCATTTTGCCCAGGGAACCTTATTTGAAGAAGCGAAATTCAAATTTTGGGGGGAATTCTTCCATGGCACGTCCCTAATTATCCCGAGATGATTTCCAATATCAGGCCATTGATTAAGTAGAGCTACATTTTCCTGGCTGACAACAATTAGAAGCACAAGCTTCAAAGTTATAAGTTAAAACCAACGATGGCCATAAGCCCGTGGGAAGGCTTTCGGGGTCACTCATTGGAGCCCCAGTATTTATCTTGGCACTTACCGGGGTTAACTCTTTCCCCCTGCCAAGGCTCTGAAAAGCTCATTGTTACAGACAACCAAGAATAAGCCTTAATATTTTGAAAAGGCTATACAGTGAATAGTACTTATTATGAATGCTTTTAAAGCAATTTAACAAGATAATCAAGTTACTCCAATACAGTCATCTCAAAATTTTAGAAGCAGTATACTATGTAAGTGGTCCTTAAGTTCAAGTAATACCTTAAGGTGAATAATACCTACCTTGGAGTATTTGGAGAAAGATCCATAATACAAATTGGTACGTTTGGAGAAAGTATCAATAACACAAAGTGTACGTTATAGAATATTTCTAAACAGATGCAACGGGGCTATTTGAAAAGATACACGGCAAACCAAACCAGTCTATAAAAATATGTTGCAAGAAAAGGGAAGTGGGGGTTTGCTTTAAAAAGCAAAGAAGAGTGATTTAAAATTAGCACGTCCTATGATATAAACGGATTTCTAAAATGCCTGAGTACTGGGTGGCTCAGTCGGTTAGGCGTCTGACTTCGGCTCAGGTCAGGATCTCACGGTTTGTGGGTTCGAGCCCCGCATCAGGCTCTGTGCTGACAGCTCTGAGCCTGGAGCCTGCTTTGGATTCTGTGTGTGTGTGTGTGTGTGTGTGTGTGTGTGTGTGTCCCTGCCCCCTCCCCCACTCACACGCTATCTCTCCTTCAAAAATAATAAACATTATTTTTATATATAAATAATTATATATATAAATATATAAATAATAAATAAACATTAAAAATTTTTTAAAAATTAAACGCTTGAGTACACTTGAAAAAATAACATATCTTTTCAACGTTTTAGACATACCTTTCAATTTTATTTCAACTATTTGCTCCATGAAGTAAAAAGAAACAAGGAGAAGTCCCTATCCAAATTACCTTGAGATCTCACAGCAGCCCAAATTAATGAGATTTTACTGACAAAAGATACAGTGTGAGTTTATTGAGCTCATGGTCGGCTCAACGATGGTAACACAACATCTGAATCCCAATGACTTGGCAAGAATATGGAAAAGTCACAGCAAATACAAAGTGCTCTGTGATTCATATTCTAAAAGGCTAGGTAACCATCCTCTGCACTCACAGGTCAGAACTCTGGCCTTTTGACCGTGTCTCCCAGAGTAGAATAGCTGTATATTTATTGATCACCTAGGATTTACAAAGCCTTATTCCAAGCCTCCCTGAGGTGGCATGAAAGAAATGCAAGTCATGGCCCTTCCAATTAAAAAGCAAGAGCAAGGAATAACTACCAGGGGAACAGAATGTGCAGCTGCTTTATTAGGAGCGCCCCTGAGGGATCTCTCAAAAAAAAAGTGTTTATTAATGTTAACATGCAATTAAGCATGGCAATCCACACTTTTATTTTAAAAATCAAAAACTTGACACTTGGATTTATTTGCCAATGTTTTATCTTAAAATGCAGTGTTACATATTGTCTTCATTTCAATTCACCGTAATAACTTTGACCTGAAAGTTGATTTATACAGATGGAAAAAATGTAAATGATTAAATGGCATTTGATGAAATTTGAGCAAAGCGAACGTGTGCCATCAAATGGAACAAAAGAAAAGAACGGGGAAGCTCCCTTCTTGAGTCATAGGGAGACCCTTTTTGAGGCTAATATGGCCCTGATTCGAATGTTCTGATTTACTCCCTGCTTAGACTCTCGAGTATTGACCCTAACATGGAAAATAGAACCAAGATATCAATGTCCCGGTGCTTGTCTCTCTTAGAACACCATCACCGTGTTGCTGACGACAACTGCTGGTGTCACTGGCCTGATCATCTCTCTGGCTTTCATCTTGATCATGACCTCTTCCACCGAGTTCATCAGACAGGTCTCCTATGAGTTGTTCTGGTACACACACCATGTGTTCATCATCTTCTTTATCAGTCTGGCTATCCATGGGGCAGGGTAAGTCCATACTGTGCTCAAAGTGTAAGATTTTATCTCTGTGAACCTCAAAAACCATCTTAGAAAGCCCTTTGGATAGGGAATCATAAATGGCAGCGACTAAAGGAACATTCACCAAGGCGAGCGCCTTCTTTTGGTAACTGGAAAGAAGCAAAATTAGATGGTGAAGTATGTTTATTTTTCTTGCTAACTCTGTTGCGGAGACTTGACATGTTTATAAGATGCAGAAATTTTACTGAATGCTGGAAAACAGTAGACCTGTTTCGCTCAGAACAAATTTCTGTGATCCAAATTGCATGCGATTAGTCAAGATATCTATTTTGGACACCCAGATTCCACTTCTGCTTAACCAGAACCACCCACTAGGAAGCCCTGTGTTGGGGAGGGAACGGTGTGTGAGATGACGGCCAGACCCAGGCTCTGCCCCTAGTCATCAGGGTGGCCACGTGCAAGTCCCTTGTATTCTCTGGACCGCAGGGTACCTGAGTGGCTCAGTCGGTTAAGTGTCCAACTCTTGATCTCCACTCAAGTCATGATCTCATGGTTCGAGGGATGGAGCCCTGCATCAGGCAGTCCACTGTCAGTACAGAGCCTGCTTGGGACTCTTTGTTCCCCTCTCTTTCTGCCCCTTCCCCGCTAGTTCTCTCTCTTTCTCTCTCTCAAAATTAAAAAACGTTTTTTAAAACTTCATTGGACCTCAGTTTTGCCATCTGACTTCTAGGATTCCTTCTCGCCCAAACATCCCATACAATGGGATTCAACACCTGTCTGAAACTATTACTCTCCTCCTCAGGAAGCTAGAGCAGACCGTGAAGCACGACACCCTCAAATACAATGTTTTCAGTTCCTTGAATAGTCTTAAAATGGCTCTGGACAAACCCACCAATGAATGTCTATTAGCTAGTTTCTTCCAACATTAATTATTCCATACACTGAGGCCTTTTTTTTTTTCCATTTCACAATTTTCAAAACACATCCGTGGGCACGATCCATTTGACCCCAACAACAGTCCTGTCCAATAAAGACGGTGATGTTACCCCCCACTTCATAAGGACGAAGCAGGTTCAGAGGGTTAAGTGATTCCCTCAAGGTCCCAGGACAAACAAATGCCAGGGTCAGACGTGGGGCACCAGGTTTCAGACAACCAAACCTTTTCTGGTCACAAGCCCCGCAGAAGAGCCCTTCACTTCCTCACGTTAAACAGCCCTCCACACCTGCAGGAATGTGGCCGAGGAGGTCGCAAACGCCCTGCGTGGCTTTCCATGAGCTCTTCCTCTGCTTCCCACACCAGCAGACGCCCTCCCCTATACAACTTTCCCTCCCATCACTGCAGCTGCTGAAGCACGCCCCCCAGGGATGTCTTTTACCTGGAAAACCCGTCCATCTCTCTGCTCATCCTTAGAATCCTAGCCGTCAATGTTCACATTTACGTGCTGTCTGGCTAATGGCTTTCTAGTCTTTAAAATTTCAGCAGTTGCCTCTTCTGCACATGTGATCCCTCACCCTGACTTTCTGTGTTTTGGGGAGCAGGATGGATGGTCCCAAAGGGCTCCCCCCTCAACGACTGTCAGTCCCTCTCTTTCTCTATGGATTCTCCTCCTGAGGCTGGGGCAGTTACCCCGAAGCACATTTGAGAGGCTCTTCATAATCCACATGTGTCTAGAATTCCTCGTCCCCCAAATTACACACACAGCCCCCTGATCCTGCCTCCCTGCCTTCACGCAAGAGGATTTCAATGGGTGGTGTTGCGTTGGAGATATTTTTTAATATCCAAATAACATTTCATAAGATGAAATATTTTAGTCATTTTAACTTAGTTGAAAGGCTTATTTTGGGATAAGGGTCTCATTTAATCCTCTCAGCTTGAAGTATTCTACAGCTACTGTTTACAGCGAAAAGTAATTTGCAAATTCTATACAAAATGCCAAGTAAAGGAGGATTATTGGAATGTGTTAAAGCCCACTAATCTTTCTATTATGGGATAGCATAGATGAAGACATAAAAAATTTTTTAATTTTTAAAAAGATACTGCATCTGTGAAATGTTCTGAGGTTTCTTTAGGTAATCTAGGCAATGTTACCTAGAGCTTGAGAGTGATGGTGTTAAAATTTACAGAATCTTTTCCTCGGGTCCCATTTATTATTCACCCTTCCTGTGTCTGGGCATCATGTGATCACGGGAGATTCACAGATGTTGTGCTCTCCTAACTCAAAGGGAGGTGATCAAGTTTGGATGACTTTCATGAAACAGACCGGGCCAAAGGCCAAAACATCAGTTCCCTAGGCTGACGTGTAAGGTCCCTAAGGCCATTGCCTCTCTCTCCTCCTGTACCCAACGGTGCAAAAGGGGACATGTTACTTCACATGTTACTGCCCATGATGTGGGCCTGTATGATGCTAGAGTTTCTCAGCACCCTGTTCCTCAAAAATAAGTCAATGTATTTTCTTCATAAACACCTAGGAATTGAACAACCTCCAGATTACATGACCTCAATTCTTAGACTTTGTGGCCCGGTGCACCAATGGGGGTACCGAAGCGGCTTGTCAAAGGTCAGTACTACGTTTGGGGCGAACGTAGCGTAGTAGGATTACAGGACTCTTGATCCAGTGCTCCATTCACGAAGGCAGGCTTCCTTTTCTCTCTCAAATTCATCAAGGTAGTTCTGAAGACATACTTCACACTGACCTATTTTGACCCTGTCACACACTACGCCTGCTCGTGGTCACTGGGGAAAAGACATCATCATTCAGGACACTTCTTGCAACTTCACTTGAAAACTTCTAGGTGCGCAGACACAAACCAAAAAGGGTAGAAGTTAGATAAATCTGCAAAAGACCCAAATAGTACAAAGTTAGCCAATTAGGCCGAATCAGCAATCAGGACGCGATGTAACCTAATTAAATTCAACAGTCTACAAAAGGGTGTGTTCAAACAATTTCCCTTCATTATGAATTCTCTAATATAGACACTTTCAATTTAACACAGGATACCGCAGAGGGGCACTTCTTTTCTGGGATCTTCAAAGTTACTTGAAGCTTCTTAAATTCCTATTTTTAAAGATGCTGAGAGAAATGAATGACAGCCCAAGTTTCAAGACAGTTGAAGTGTTATTTCAGAGCCCGCTGCAGAGCATATATCTGTGGTATCACAAGACTGCACAAAATCAATTTGAAATATTCAGGTTTTGTTTTGTTTTGTTTTGTTTTAATGGCAAGTCGGATTGTTCGAGGCCAAACTCCCGAGAGTCAACTGCTCCACAATGTCACCTTCTGCAAAGACCACTACGCTCAGTGGCAGACCGCTGCCCAGTGCCCCACGCCTCAATTTTCTGGCAAGGAGCCTTCGGTAAGAATGAACCCAAGAGCTTTTAAAAATAGCTGTCGCCACAGTTAAAATAACTAGAGCTTTGTGTGCTTGAGAAAAGAACAGCCCATGTCACCACTAGACAAAGCCAGCTCTTTATTAAGTGTGCTAATGGAGAAATCTAGTTATAGATCATTTTAAAAAGAGGTTTACTGCCAAAAGGGTTCTGTCCATTTCGAAATGTGCTCTTGCGCTCCCACGTCCATGGGGGTGTCTGATATGGCAGAATGAGCAGAACTGCAGACATGAACGACCCTCTCTCCGGCTTGCCATCCTCTCTGCTCTGCAAACTCAGCCCCCTGCCCCCCTGCGGAACTGCCCTTTCCATTCTGGGAATTACTAGCCGCACTCCTCCAATGAACATCAAGCAACAACCACGTGAGAAGGATGCCCTCCTTATTAAAGCTTACCTTCTTGCTTCCTACAGCTTTGGGGATCAAAAAAAAATTGGGGTACTAAATGCATTGACTGCCTATTCTAATTAAGCTCCCATAGCTGAAATAATGATGTTAGGCAAAAAAGAGAAGGATGCCCTCTTTATTAAGCTTACCTTCTTGCTTCCTACAGCTTTGGGGATCAAAAAAACTTGGGGTACTAAATGCATTGACTGCCTATTCTAATTAAGCTACATAACTGAAATAATGATGCTAGGCAAAAAGAGACCTAATTCATTAGAGTCGATCATCATGTCCACAAGATCTCAAAAGGAAGATATCCTGGGCATGCTGCAATGCCTTTGTGGCATAGGTACGTAGAAATAATGATTCTATTTGGTCTCCTCGGGTTTCTTAGAACAAGGCAAACCTTGGGGCACCTGGGTGATGCATGAGAGCAAATAAATGAGGCCAGGAGATTAAAACAAGAAGGAAACAGGGTCCCCAAATAGGGATAATAGTATATAAATGGTGGAGATTCAGGAAATTAAGTCATCAACTTATGACGACTCTAATGATTGACTTTTTCTAAACTCTTCAAATACATTAAATGAAGCCCTGGATTTTAAAAGTGAAAACTGCTGGGAGGAATGTTTAAAACCGAGAGAAACGACATAGATGTGCCCGTTAGACTGTGGTTCTTTTAATGGTCAGTATAGATTGTCTCTGTCTTAAACTCAACTATCAGTAGCCACTACCCAGCCTGCATAGTAATGAGGAACAGGAATGCCTCTCTAAAATCTTCCAGCTACAGCGTCTCCATAAAAAAAAAAAAAAAAAAATCAATACTCTCCCACACCTCATGAATACAGACCGGAGCCTGCTCCAGCAGTGTGCACTGACATTAATTACTATTAAAAGGGGGGAATCTTACCCATCTGTCTGTTAACTCTCCCCTGCTACACCGCCTGGCCCACCCAAACTCATGTTGTCACTCTTTCTCATTATTTTTAATGGATCCTGGTTCAAAGCGTGTGTGGGCTGTGCAATTACTGCTTGGCTGAAGGTGCAGTGTTCTCTCTGACGTCTCATAGACACTGAGTCCGGGAGGCATCCCAAGGACGAGGAAGGGTTCCGGGGTTTCACTGCACCGCATCTACCCGTCGCTTCCTCTTGGCCCCTCCTAACTGCATTTTCACGGTACTTTTATCAATGGAACATTTATCAGTTCACCTTTGGCAGGGCACCGCTGTCCGGGTTAGGACGCAGAATGCTTTGCACACCGCCCCGTGGGCACCGAACTGATCAAGGGAACCAATTACCCCTGTGGTCCCCTTCTGTCTCGGACTCACAGACGCATCCAAGGCTCCAGACTCTAGAACTGCTCGTGCAATCTATTCTCCAAAGAAGCCTGGTCGTTCTCAGTCGGAGAAGCACCTTATTTTATTTACCTACGACATCGACAAGTGACAGCAACAACAGCAATAATAATAAGGCTAACGCTGGTTTAAATTATTAGGGAATGATGTCAACCGTACAGGAGGAAGCTTCACCTGAGGTAGAGTCCATTCGGCAAAACGTTTTCTAAAAGGCTGTTACATTCATGCCGCTGCACGGTATGGAAGCTTCCGAGACGTGGTTCCTGCCCCTGGAAATCTTATTGTCTAGACAAAGAGGCCATTTTTAAACACACACATAAAATAAAATCAGAGCCAGCATGTTCTTATTTTCTTGGAGGAATGAAAAACCAGGAGGGAAAGTGGAAGAAACAAGTTTCATTACTGCAGCTTTTAAATCAATGTAGCTTTATTTCTATCATAAAATATTCACTGTAGCATGACTTTCTGAGTATTTTTGGAAAAGAAAAAGTAAAGCAAAGAAGCCACGGAGTATGTTAGCATTAAAGAAACTTAGATACCTAATAGCCCCGCCCCTTAATTTAGCAGACGGAGGGCTAGCGGCCCAAGATTTAGCTTCTGACCTATGGTCACAAAGGCCATCCCCAGGAAAGCCACATCAAGAAGCCAGAGCTTCAACTCTGTGGCCGTGAACTTGCATCCCTACACACTTCAACATTCATTCTGAAACTCCAGCCTTCTCCCACCCCTCATTTTGTCTGCTGTCTGCTGCTATCTATGTGCACATACCCCTGACGCTGTATTTATCTCTGTGAATAAAGCTAAAACATTTAAGAGCCTGGAGGAAACCCAGCCAATAATTTTCTCCACCTGTCTCATTTTACAAAACAAAAGATTTGAACACAAAAGGCCCAAGGCTCGGGGCGCCTGGGTGGCTCAGTCGGTTAAGCGTCCATCTTTGGCTCAGGTCACGATCTCACAGTTCGTGAGTTCGAGCCCCACGTCAGTCTCTGCACTGACAGCTCAGAGCCTGGAGTCTGCCTCAGATTCTGCGTCTCCCTCTCTCTCTGCCCCTTCCCTGCTCACGCTCTGTCTCTCTCTCTCTCAAAAAATAAATCAACATTTTTGTAAAAGGCCCAGGATTTGCCGCAAGGCATAGGGGAAGAACGGTCCCCCAAGACCCAAAGCCAGGGCTTCTAAGACCTAGTCCAAGTTCTACCTCACATGCGCCCCTTCTGCTCTGGGGCATGGCCTCCTTCTGTCTTTACTAACTCTTGTCTATCCAGGTTACTGCTGTAGGTAACCTACTGTTCACCTCTGGCCACCCCCATCCCTCACTCCTTAACTTCTAGGGGCTCCAGGAGCACCATCACCGTGTAACCAAACTGGGCTTTTTCCTCCCAGAACATTTCATATACTAGAGTAGAGATAGAGCCAAGGATTAATAGCTTACATTCTCCTTCCTTACTAACTGTACGAGGAAAAACAATCCACTCCATTTTATCAACGTGGAAAAATCAGAGCCCGAGACTGATGTGACAGCACCAAAACGAAGTGTGTGATGCTTAAAACGTCCCAAAGTGGACATGCAAGATTATTTGTGAAAATACATAGAGACTATGTGAGTGGTTTTGCAAATCTCTCTCTAAGCTTACACAGAAAGAATTGCATTCTTGCTATTATTTCTGTAACTATCCACACCAATTCTCAAAACGCTTTCTGGTTCTCTCAAGCAGGAGAGACCTAAGGACTCACTCCTTTGGTCCAACCCCATCCTTCTTGTCTACCCCCTTGCTATCTTCTCCCTTACTCTGTGCATCATATTGCCTCACCCACAGCATAGGTGGACAAAAGGTTTTGTTCCCTCTGCTATTCTGAACACGTTGCTGAACCCCACTGAGGCAGAAAAGGATAAGTGGGTCAAATTGCTTTGTGTTGCCTGCATAAATTGAGCCTTTATCAGGCAAACAAGAGGCTCCCGGGGAAAAAGCAAGGAGGGTTGATGTAGGTGAGAAGAGCTGCCATGCAAACAGACCCAGCAGTAAACAAAAGAGAAATAGAAACACAAGAAAGATAACAGAAGCAAAAATAACACTGAAGGGCTTGTGACCTGTCAACGCAACAGAGCAGGGTAACGGGTAAGAGAGTAATGATCAACAAAGACGGCGAGTCAGCCAGAGAGGGTCTAGCGAACCTGAGTTCAAAAGAGTGAGACATCCTTCCCACTCCCAAGGCCGTGTGCTAGGAGGAAGGTGGCGGTGCATTTAGAATCCCAAGCAGGGAATTTAGGGGAATTAGGAAAGACTTGAGTTCCAGTCCTGGCTCCCCAGGATCCAGTTCTATCTCCTCAGGCAATTCTACCCATTCCCACAACCTCGGGGTTTTTTCTTCTTTAGATGAAGAATTGGACTAGACTTCAAAGAACTCTTGACACCCTCAAATTCAATGAAGACTGAGCCTCTAATGTTTGGTAAAACAAGGGTCAGTACCAACGCCAGCATTAGACAGAAAGAGGCATGATTACACGGCAAGTACACAGGCCAGGCGGTCAGACCCCTCTGGGGTCAGGTTTTTCTGGTGCACCTAATTGCCTTTGCGACCCCGGAAAATCTGTTTGATCTTGCCGGACCTCAGTTTGCTCTTGCGTCAAACACAGAGAATAACCATATGCCTCGTGGGGTTGTTTGGTCCCCGACCTAGTATAAGTCTTCCGCCATTTTAAGTTACGTCCCTTCCAAGGGAGGAGGACGCCGTACGTTATACACACCCACTGGTACAAGACTAGCCTGCTGGCAAACCGATCGTTAATAATGCACATGATTCTCATAAGAGGTTGACATAGGATGGGATTTATTAAGAATTAAAATGTTCACTGTCTCAACTGCCAAGAAGATGGTGGTGGATTGTGTTCTGATTCTGTAAATCTCGATTTAAAGTTCTGAGACACTCCTTTTATGTTTTATTCCTGATAACACTGGATATGCATGCCTCTGTGGGTGTGTGTGGATACGGTTGTGGATTTGGGGGCTCCTTCAGGCAGACCCCCACGTTGTGACGCACTGCTGGCCCCCCCAAAATGACTGCTCAAAATGCTTTTTTTTTTTAAATTTTTTTTTCAACATTTATTTATTTTTGGGACAGAGAAAGACAGAGCATGAACGGGGGAGGGGCAGAGAGAGAGGGAGACACAGAATCGGAAACAGGCTCCAGGCTCTGAGCCATCAGCCCAGAGCCTGACGCGGGGCTCGAACTTACGGACCACGAGATCGTGACCTGGCTGAAGTCGGACGCTCAACCGACTGCGCCACCCAGGCGCCCCTCAAAATGCTTTTATTTAATTTCCCATGTCCTTTGTTGGCGCACGAATATCGCTTTGTAAGCCTTTGACTTTGGCTGAGTTGGGAGCATTTATGACCCTATCATATGTAACGTAAACATCAATCTGCTTTCCTATTTCTTTGCAAATTCAATTATTTCTAATTACATAAAGGCATCATTGATCAAGTAAGCATAAAAACCAATACAGAAGAGTTTAATCTCTTAAATAAGCTTGTACACTTCAAGGAATAATTGAATGTTATAGTATTTAATACAAGGAGATATCTTTATCGTTGATAACTGGCCCAAAGTTAAAGGAAAATGTCTGAATCCCATCATGTTATGTATTGATTTCGTTCAAATTGAAAATATCTGGATTCTATTTTCATTTCCTTTTCTTCTCTCTCTCTCTCTCTCTCTCTCTCTGCTACTCTCTGCAGGCTTGGAAATGGGTTTTAGGCCCTGTGGTCTTATACACGTGTGAAAGAATAATTAGGTTCTGGCGGTTTCGACAAGAAGTTGTCATTACCAAGGTATGCATGTAGCTTTATGTCTGAATAAAAGCCTGAGTGTAGATGGAAATTTTTTATTAGCCCAAGGTTTTAATTTGCCATTTTTATTGCAGAACTGTCTGTAATTTAGAGGCCCATCTTCTGTTCTAATAATTGCTCGTATCCTGCGCATCTTTTAGTGTGACTAATTTTACTGAGGACAGGGATCAGGGCTCCAGACTGGTACACAGAATTCTGATAAAGGTTTACGGTGCAGCATAGAAGTCATCTCTTTTTCTCTTTCTTTCCGTTTCTCACTAGGGGACTTGTTTCGGGGGGTGGGGGGGTGAGGACGGGCAGGAGGACTAAGCTTTACATTGGTCATGGTAACTTCCAGTACAATCACTTCCTTCAGCACACGAAGTCGGGGATTTTGCAAGCACACAAATAATAGAACTACATTTTCAAGGGCACACACTCCCACTTGGGGCTACTGGCGGAAGATCGGGGAACAATCACCCTCAGGTTCAGAGTGGAAGTATGACACGGAGCCCCACCTAGTGAGTGAGGGCTCTGGGATTTTTTGCAAATTTGCACCCCTCCGCACAGCTCTCCAAGTTTTACCATGTGCTGGAGGAAGATGTGAGTACCTAGACTAGGTACCTGTCTGGGAGACTGAATAGTACCAAGTACCCTGCCCCCGGTACTTACTCCGGTAAAACCCCCGGAGGTTTTAAACCTCCAAGAAGAAATGCTGTGCTCACCAAACCTATATTGCTAATACAATATTAACAGAGTACTCTATCTCCTTAACTGTCTTCATGAAAACAGATGCATAGAAATTGCTTCATATTTCTGTTTTAAGCTCTTTCCATGTTGCTGCTTTTAAGTTAAGCACCAAAGGATATCAGGCTACGTCAAAAGCCAGACAGTAAAACTTCTGGAAATCCACTAGAGCCGTTACTAGGGAGACAATTTAACAGCAGAATCAGAACAAATATCAGTAGGGAGATGGGAAACAGAACTAATGATTAAAATGCTGTGAGATTCTCTTCCGAATGGAAAAATCCTGTCACAGGATCTAGACGTTTGATTTTGTTCCCACCACCTCCTGACACAAAAGGGGCCATGGGGGCCTAGAGAGATTGTTTGTTTGTTTGTTTGTTTGTTTGTTTGTTTTTTCAGAAAACGATGGAAATCGAGGAAGGGAAATTAGTTCTTTCCTTCCGGTAAGCACCAAGTTGCAAAGCTCTTTTTTGTTGTTGTTTAAGTTTATTTATTTATTCTGAGAGAGAAAGAGAGAGAGAGGTAGAGAGATTGAGAATCCCAAACAGGCTCCAATCTGTCAGCACAGAACCCAATGTGGGGCTCAACTCACAAACCATGAGATCATGACCTGAACCAAAACCAAGAGTCAGACGCTTCACCAACTGAGCCACCCAGGTGCCCTGCAAGGCTCTTAAAAAAGTGATTAAGAGGGGCGCCTGGGTGGCTCAGTAGGTTAAGCATTGGACTCTTGGTTTTGGATGGGGTCATGATTTCATGGTTTGTGAGTTCAAGCCCCATGTCGGGATTGTCACTGACAGTGAGGAGCCTGCTTGGGATTCTCTCTCTGCCTTTCTCTCACAGAATAAATAAATAAACTTAAAAAAAAAAAAAAAAAGCAGTAAGAGGAGTCCACCTAAAACTCAGAGCCTAAGCAGGACATTGGAAAAGACCCAACTAAAACAAAACAAAACATTTCACAGTGAATTTGAAGATTGGTTTCCACCTAGAATGAAAAAACTCACAGGGTTGGGGCACCTGGGTGGCTCAGTCAATTAAGAGTCCGACTTCGGCTCAGGTCATGATCTCGTGGTTGACCAGTTTGAGCCCTGTGTCAGGTTCTATGCGACAGCTCGGAGCCTGGAGCCTGCTTCGTATTCTGCATCTCCCGCTCTCTCTGCCCCTCCCCCACTCATGCCCTGTCTCCCTACATCTCAAAAATAAACATCAAAAACATTTTTTTGAAAAGAAAGAAAAAAATCACAGGGTTAATGAACCAGAGATTGAGAAAATGTACAAATTGTTGAAAACAGTAACAAACTCAGACCTACATTTTAAAAACATGGAGATAATTCTGTATTTTAAGAATTCTGTAAGTATTTTAAGAATGCATAATTAAGTGCAATGGCCGATAGGCTAGCTTCTATTCTCTTGGTCCTGCTCAGCTGTGCTACCCAGAGCTTGGCCATTTGAGACCTAAAGTCACAGGCCAGACACGACATGGCACCGGGGTGCAGCTACCCACATCTCCCACAGCACCCCGAAGGAGACGATCGTCACGCTTGTTAGAGTTGCCCAGCCAGATATGAAAGGGATGGCCAAGATCCTTGGAAGTTGATGGCAAATGGTATATGTACATTATACCTCAAAAGAGCTGATTTCAAAATTTAAAAACGTCTGATGGAGCAAAAGCCAGTCTCTTCTTCTTTAACCTGAGGGGGTAAGAAAAAACAAATGATTCTCTTGCTCTGATTTAGGTGGTGAGCCACCCATCTGGAGTTCTAGAACTTCACATGAAAAAGCGAAACTTTAAAATGGCGCCAGGGCAATACGTCTTGATACAGTGCCCGTCCATATCGTGGCTGGAATGGCACCCCTTCACCCTCACGTCGGCCCCTCAGGAGAACTTCTTCAGTGTGCACATCCGGGTAGCAGGAGACTGGACGGAAGCTCTGTGTAAGGCCTTTGGGGCAGGAGGACAGGCCCGGAAGGAGTCCTGGAGCTTGCCAAGGTCAGAGCCCGTTTCTTTTTTACACACAAGTTAGAATTGTAGAACAAATAAGGCATTTTAGTGCATCGACGTGCTTACCAAACCCAGCAATATCTTTATTCTAGAAGGGCAAGTTTTAACCCATTTTTTAACTTTGGGAACCTATATAAAAAGTTTTATTTAGTAGATTCCCAGTAGAGGCAAGTACATTTCTTTAAAAAAAAAAAAAAAAAAAAAGTTCAACAAAGGCAGGCAGCGATCCAGGAAGAAGGAGCATTTTGCTTCCTCAGCTCCAAAACCACTCTTGGCTAATTATATGCAGCCTGTGATGAGTAAGAAAGCCCTGTGAACTTTTCTGCTCTTACAGTCGGAGGTCTTTAAATTATATTTGCCATTTTGGTCTTCATAAGAAGGACACTTCAAGGTCAGAATGAATCCGGTGGGCCCCATCCACTGGAGAAGGTGCTAAACAATTACAGATGGAAGTTCATAGAAGGACAAAGTGATCTGAGAGTCAAGAAAGGTAGTTGTGCCCCTTCATTCAGTCAGTCCTGCATGTGTGTATACAACAAGTGTCAATTAACCTCCACCGTGTGTCAGAAATACGGAGATGCCCAGGAGCTGCCTCCATTTTCTAGGACCCCGTGGGGGCCGATGGAATCAATATCAACCTGCACGCAGAGGAGCTCGTTGTGCTGCAAGGGAGATGCACGGGGGGCGGGGTCTGAGAAGGGTAAAGAACACCAGTAGCACGTGGACTCATTTCCTAGGGTTGTGGTAACAAAGGAACACAAACCGGGTGGCCTAAAAAACAGAAACTCATTCTCTCCCAGTTCTCGGGGCTCTGGGGCTGAATCTAAGTGACAGCAGGGCTGAGCTCCGTCTGAAACCCTTCGGGAAGAATCTTCCCTTGCCTCCTCCCGGCCTCTGGGGGTTTGCCAGCAATGCACGGTATTCCTTGGCTCGCAGCCTCCAGCCTTTGTCGTCACACGGTGTTCTTCCCTCCGTGACTGTGTCTCCGTGGCCTCTTCTTATAAATCCTGGTCATATCGGATGAAGGGCCCACCCTCCTCCTGTATGACCTCATCTTAACTTGATTAATTACATCTGCAACAACCCTGTTTCCAAATAAGGTCACGTTCTAAGGCACCAAGGTTAGAACTTCAACATATCAGCTGGGAGACACAATTCAACCCACAATGACAGCCTATTCAGACAGGCCTGGGCACCAGACCGAAGTCCCACCGTAAATTACCAGGCCTTGGCCTCTGTTAGCAAACAATGGCTTAAAGTCGATTCCCACTCTTACAGCTGGATTACCCAATAAGCAGGCAAAACCCACGTTCAAGGCCCCCGAAAAACACGGACACACACAAAAAATGTGGAGAAAAACGGTTGGAAGAATTTGACATTTCAAAAGATGCATCAAAAGATTCCCTCTTCTCAGGGCGCCTGGGTAGTTCAATAGGTCAAGTGTCTGACTTCAGCTCAGGCCGTCATCTCATGGCTTGTGAGTTCGAGCCCGGCGTCAGGCTCTGTGCCGGCAGCTCGGAGCCTGGAGCGTGCTTCGGATTCTGTGTCTCCCCCTCTCTCTGCCCCTCCCCTGCTCTCTCTCTCTCTCTGTCTCAAAGATAAATAAACATTAAAGAAATTTTTAAAATTAAAAAAAAGAAAAAAAAAGAGAAAGAGAGATTCCTGCCTCCGCCATCCTTGAATGGTGTCAGGAACTACCAGGCAGTAGCCACCGACGTAAGAAACTAGGTGGCGAATGCTGTCAGGACGCACTTAGGATTGGACTTTCGGAGGGCAGGGCATTGTCTGTCCCTGCCTATATGTCCGGGGCCTGGCACAGTGTCTGATATGTATTGGGTACATAGTAAATATGTAATGAAGAAATTAACGAATACCCGGACCCAATAGGGATGCTTCAGCTCATTTATTTTAACAAATATTTACAGGTGGCAAACTAGGCACTCGAATAAACATAAGGCTCAGGACCTATTTAGCCAATCGTCCCTCTTCCCCCCTCCCCATGAGACACTGAACTGTAACCGTGTAGCACTGGGCTTGGTCACGTTCACTAGGTAGGAAGAGTCACATGCCTTCATTTCAAAGCCTGGAACTGAAGAATGGTGTGATAACAAACCAAGTACGGTAAAACCTCGGTCTGCGAGCACAATTCGTTCCGGGACATGCTTATAATCCAAAGCACGGGTATATCAAAGCGAATTTCCCATAAGAAATGATGGAAACCCAACCCAATTATTTGGGTTCCACAACCCAAAAATATTCATGTAAAAATGATTCCGATACTGTAATATAATACGAAATAACAAAGAAAACACACAATATTAAAAAAAATAATAAACAGATTAACCTGTACGTACCTTTGAAAACCTCCGTGGCTGGTGTGAGGGAGACAAGAGAGAGGAGGGTGGTTGTGTAGGACGACTTTCACTATCACTAACAGAATCACTGCTATCTGTTGGCTCAATGGGATCTTTTTCTTTTCACGCAACTTTAACAAAGAACCTATCCAATGACCTACAATGAAGCAAAGTGTTCCTAAGCTTACTCAGGCATGGAAAAGCAAAGGACTGTCCATAGGGACTCCGAAGTGACAAAAAATACCCCAGTGCCAGTTGTGGGCACTGTCCAATGTTCTGAAACATCAAGGATTTCTGCCAAACACCACAGCCTGAGACCGAGCACCTGAGCATGGGAGACGATCACCCAAAATCATTGTGAAGAGAGAGAGAGACACACACAAGACCTATTAGCTCAGTTGTGATCATGTGACATGCAGCGTCACATACTGCTCATACAGCAAGACATCACGAGTTTATCAAACTAGAAATGTTTGCGTGTCTTGTGGAACACTCACCCAACGAGTTACTCGCCATCCAAGGCTTGACTGTATAAGCATCATCTCTGGAGACAAATCAGCTGACAGTACCTAACTACTACTTCATTTAAGACCTTCTCTTTTTTAATCATGGAAAGGAAGCAATGTAGCAGAATTCTAAGATTCAGAATGCAGTGCAAAGGCCTAAAATCGGGAGTAAAACTAGACACACAGAACGTCCCTGCCCTCCTTTTGGTGTTGCCCAGATCAGTGCTTTCATCCTGTCTCTAGCCTGGTCTCTGCTGTCAGTGTATACAGTTGTCTGGTCTATCAACCAACCTTCCCTTTCGCCCACCAGCTGGCATTTCAGCCAATACCCCAACAAGAACTCAGTCACGTTTCTCGGTAGTCAATATGCCTTCTATCTGTGGAGTGCATCGTCAGCTCAAGGCCCAACATGATATGTCCTCTCCCCCACTCCCCCCCCAGGTCTCCCTGGGCTTCTCTGCCCACCTCTTCTTCCCCCCCCCCCCCCACCACCACCACCTTGCACTCAGCCGTTCTTCCAGGCTTCCTTCTTGTTTTTCTCTTCTGATCACCTTTACCACTTCTATCCCCTCCATCTGGAGCACTCTTCCCCAGATCTCTGCTTGGCTGCTCCCTTACTTCCCCAGGCATTTATTCAAATGTCTCCTAGTGAGGTGTTTCCTTCCTGCCCCGTCTGAGACAATGACCCCCAACTGAAGCTCAATAACCACTTCTTCCCGTGCCCTGCTTCATTCTTCTGCATGGTACTTAACACCACCTGACACACGAAATATCTGCTCCTTTATCTGTTTACCAGGTATCTTCCCACACTAGAATGAAAGTTCCATAAGAAAAGGGACATTATCCATTTGGCTCACTTTGTTGCGTTCAGTGCCTAGAATAGGCCCTAACTCTTAGTTGGTACTCAGTGAATATTTATTGAAGGACTGAAAACGAGTTGTTGGAAACAGTGCAGTTTCCCTTCATTTGTTAAACTCACTGATCTCTGCCTCTGTACACGTGTAGGCATATTTGTCTAACTCTTCAATATATGAAGAATCAGAATTTTACTGGATTTCCTTGTTCCATTTTATCTATTAACGTTATTTTGTCTTTGAATTGAATCAAACACATGGGAGGGAGAAGTATAATTTTTCACTGCTTTGGACCCAGAAAGGATTTTTTTAAGTTTGTTTATGTATTTATTTTGAGAGAGAGGGAGAGAGAGAGAGAGAGAGACTGAGAATGAAAGTGGGGAACTGATAGAGAGAGAGAGGTAAAGAGAGAGGATCCCAAGCAGGCTCTGCACTGTCAGCATGGAGCCCACTTGGGGCCGGAACCCATGAACTGTGAGATCATGACCTGATCGTTACATTTTAAAAAAATTTTTTTAATGTTTATTTATTTTTGAGAGAGAGAGAGGCAGAGCATGAGCGGGGGAGGGGCAGAGAGAGAGGGAGACACAGGATCCGAAGCAGGCTCCAGGCTCTGAGCCGTCAGCACAGAGCCCGACGCGGGGCTCAAACCCACGAACCGCGAGATCATGACCTGAGCCGAAGTCGGTCGCTCAACCGACTGAGCCACCCAGGCATCCCCAGAAAGGATTTAAACCAGCCCGAGGAATCTGTGAGGCCCAGGCAAGAAGCAAACCTAGACAGAGAGCTGGAAAACTTCTCTATTCTGTGCCCAGGAAAAGGGAAGAGGATGGGAGATATTTTAAAGCACTTTGCCTTCTGAGGTAAAATGGAGGAAGTTCTCAGAGTTGATGCTAGAGAGTTCAGTGACTAACCTGCTTCCTAGAGCCAAGGATTTCAGTTCTGACAGCCTGGGTTCAAAGCCCAGTTTTGCATGTGCTCCTAGAGAGTACATGTCACTGTGTGCCTCAGTTTCCCCGTCTGTAAAATAAAGATGATAATCGTAGTACCTAAGAGTTTGTTTAGGTTTAAAGGTGACAGTCCTTTAAAAGCCCTTAACATGACGCATAGTGGAGAAAAAAAAAAAAAAGGCTGGCTGTTATTATTAGCAAACCATGAAAGGTCACCGACCGCAGAGATGTCCGTGACAGCAATGACCACAGGGAGGACGTGTCTATGAGCAAAGGCCATGGGTTCAGAGAGTCGAGGGTGGAGGTCGATGAGGCGGGTGGGTGTGCTGCGGACCAGAGCAACAAGGAACTGCACGGCGTGGATGCCGGAAAGGGCCGTTTTCCAAGCGGCATCCTTAAACTCTGGATCCAGATGGAAGAGGAAGTAGCTGGGTGAACTGGACGAAAAAGAATTTGGGCAAAGACAGTCGATTCAGGATTGCGAGAGGTCTCCAGAAATGGAGACGTTTTGGTCCAGAAAAGAACAATCAGGGCGTCACGATAGCTGCCATCAACCGTTGAAGGACCTGAGACAAGAAAGGGAAGAGAGCCGGTGCGCGTTTCTCGGGAGTGTGGTCAGAAGACAGAGGTCGGTGACACGTGCGAAAAACTGTCTATTGCTTTCAACTGCCCCCCTCCGCCCCCCGCCAAGTTAACAGCAGAATGCGATCAGCTGTCGGGGTGGTGGAAGGAAGGATGACTGTATTATCTATATTATCAGGGCAGTTGGACCAAATATTTTCTCCTGCCTCTTCCAGCTTAGATGCACAATTCTGATTCTGAGGAAATTTATCTATTGTGTATTTCTGTGGATTGTGTGACACAATTCTTCTTTGGGTTTAATTGTTATCTTTTCAAATCAGTGTCAGAGAAGTCCCAAATACAACTAATTATAAAAACAATTAACGGTAAGACATTCTAATCCTTGGACAGTTTCATTTTTTCTCTCTCAATTCCCCTTACCTAATTATTTATAAAATAATCTACAGTGGGCTGAGATACTAACCCTTTCTGGTTAATGACCTTTTATTTTTATTCTTCCATTTCCATAAATCAATATGTAATAAAGCCTTATTAATTAAGATTAACTTGAAGAGAGTTAATTTGAATTATTAGGAGGTCTGGCATATGGAATATTTAAAAATAAAACCCAATTGAACTTTCATGAACACAAAGTAAGCCCAAATGGGCCAACCTCGGGTGCCTTCTACAGACACCCCTTAGGGAATGGTTATGAATAACTTAGAAGCCTTTTAATTAGCATATCTCTGTTCATATGTAAATGTGTGCTTTTGGAATAGTTGAGGTTATTTAATACATTCTGCTGACTGAAATATTTTAAACATTCCCTTTACAATTTATTCAACAAATTGTTACTGAACAGCTCCATGCCACAGAGCATGCCAGGCGTTGGGATGCAGTGGTGAGCAAGGACAGACCCGGCCCCTCCCTCCGGGGAACTTGTTGTCTCGTGATCAAGAGAGACACAAATCAAATCACGCGCGCACACCCCAAGAACTGTAAAACTACAACAGTGATGCAGACTACAGAGGAGGGGTACATGGGGCTATAAAGTATATAAGAGGGGATTTAGCCTTAGTGCAAAGGATCCACGAAGCTCCCCCAGGAAAATGATGATTGAGAGAAGACCTAATGAAAGGGTAACTATGAACCAAGACAGGGAGAGAGGAGGAATCGGGACCGAGGATTCCTAGTGATTACTTGGATTATCACATGCAAAGGCCCTGTGGCAGAAGGGGGGGTACTGTGTATTTTGGGGAAGGAAAGAAAAGCCAGGTGGAGAACTGGTGTTGAGAAATGGAGTCGAATCCGGGGGCCAGTCTCTTCCGGACCATGTTAAAGACAATCGTATTTATTCAATAAATATGCTTCATCCTTACCAAGAAAAACTTGCTAAGCAAAGACAAAACGTCAGTGCCGTTCCCGGCCTGATCATCACAGATTTTGAGCTCACGTAATCTGAAACAACAAGTTTTAGAAGTTCCACATACCTGACAAATGATCTCAAAATTATGCTTATTCCAAATGAATGGCTTCTATTAGATGAAAATGATATGAACGCACTAAGATGTGGGACTGAATAAGTGAAAACGGAGAAGAATAGCAAAAGGACACATAAGGCTTCTAAACCACCTTCTGCTTTATTCCTTTGATGGTGGAAGAAAGGAGAGGAGGGAAGGGGAGGGAAGGGGAGAGGAGAGGAGAGGCGAGGCGAGGCGAGGAGAAGAGACGGCCTCTTCTACCAGGGCCAAAACAAGCTTCTAGAAATTGTAAGAAGAGCCGGCCACGGGGAAGAGGAGTGGGCTCAAGCCAGAAAAGTCAGGCTTTGTCCTACCATGAATGCACCTGGGCTGGCCTGTCTGGTCGTCCCCCCGCGAGTCCAGGCCCCCAGTTCCTCATGTTAAGTCTAGGCTCTCCAGACAGGGCATTCTCAAGCTCAGAGCCAACCCCCCTGCACCCAGTTACAAACATCTTGCAAAGAGCCGTGCTTGAGGGTGGCTTTGTTTTCGAGAGCGTCGCGTCTGAACGTCACCAAGGCCACATTCTGTGATTGCAGGCTGGCGGTGGACGGGCCGTTTGGAACCGCACTGACGGACGTGTTTCACTACCCAGTGAGCGTGTGCGTTGCTGCAGGAATAGGGGTGACTCCCTTCGCCTCTCTCCTGAAATCCATATGGTACAGATGTGAGTCGCACACCCAGCTGAAGCTGAGCAAGGTATGGAAAAAATCATTAGTTCACACTTAACGTGGATTAAGAGGTTCCACATCCTTCTATCTATCATCTGCCAATTCCTGGGGAGGATTTTAATTAACTATGAGGGATAAATTCAAGGATCCTTAACTATACTTATGTTCTTAAAAATCTCCATTCGGTATTACATTTATGAGAAGGGTTATGTCTAATCTTGTTAAAGATGACAAGACATAAATTTTATTGCTTCGTTGCCATTACAGGACATGTAATTGCTCATGTCAGTAAAATATGGACAGGCTGCAAATGGCTCTGTGACTGGGCGACAGTTAGTGATATTAACAGGAGGCCTTTCCCTCAGTCTCTTTGGCCTGATACTCTGGTTGCAGGATGCAATTCAACATCTTCCTTTCGTGCACTCGTAGCCTTAACAAGAATGCCACGGTTGGAACTCACTGGCCTGCTTACTTGATATCGCCAAGCTCAGAATCTCTTTTGTCATGTCTGATGTGTTCTGTGACTAGACACCTCCATGGTTACCTTCCTTCCTTTGTCCTGCCCAGAGACTGTCCGTACTTTAACCCTCCGAGGCCCAGCCGTAGACACCAGAACAGCAGGAGAAAGGGACCCACGTTGACGCCGAGGGGTGTCAATTCAGGAGGACTCGGGATATTAGGCGAGCCCGGTTCCGGTCCTGATTCTGTCACTTCTCGGGTTCACACTTTGGCTACACTTTCCCACCTGTCAAAGGAACTCACTTAATTTGATTAGCATGTCTGTCTAACATAGTTGGATATGAACATTAGTCTTATGATATGGCCCACAAAAGAGAACTCTGTGGTCATAAGAACTTAAAGTACTACAAATCTCATTCTAGGAGGTTCACATCATTTCTTGCCCTATTAAATAAGTTCTATAGAAAAGAACCTCATTCGGTTTTGTTTCACCCACTTTTGTCAAGCTTAGTTAGCCATGGAAACCTTCTCCACCTAGCATTTATTGAGCAAGAGCATTCTTCAAAGCACTGGGGCAGTATGAGACTAGTAGAGCTCTAAAGTTGGGGCTTTCCCAACTAAGAAATAAGAATAAAACTAGCTATCATTTCGTGAGTTTCCAATGACAGGTGCTTGACATACACTTTCTCATTTGATGGTTATAACCTTCCCAACAACTTTATAAAGTAGATAATACCAAGCTTGTTTTCCAGATAAGGAAGCTGAAGGTTAGAGAAACCAAAGTGTGTTCCCTAAAAATACATGGGTAGTAAAAGGCAGAATCAGGATTCAGATTAGATCCATCTGGCTCTTTCCATGACATCACCAACGTATGGTAGATATGACTGCCGCCATTGTGTTATAGGCAGACTGTGGGACTCCTGGCCAGAGGATCCGCCCCAGCCTCACTCCACCCTCACTAAATGCATCACCTTGAGTGACTCAAGTCACCTCTCTGACTGGGTTTCCTGATCTGCGAAATGGAGAAATAAGGGCCCATATCCAACGGGGAGTTTTAATACCAAAGAAGACAAAGAAATAATGTAATGTGTGAACAATGTAACGTAAATGTGTACAGAATGATATAAAAGTTCATTATCACTGCCAAAGATGTGGCTCGATTACCACTTCTACTACTAATAGCTTAGACCCATCAAGCCTTGACTACCTGGCAGATGGGAAGTTAGGCGTTTTACACATACTATCTCACATCATCTTTTGAAGGAACTTATCATTTTTATTCCCATTTACAGATGAGAAAAATCGAAGCTGATCACAAAGCTAATAGGAACGATAGCTTGTATTATCAAATTGTCATCATTGCCCTTTCAGATAAGTGACATCCTCAGTTTAGTCCTGAGGAACCCAAAGCACAGAGAGCTGGGAAATAGTAGAAGGAGAGTCCGAATCCAGACTCTTCTTTTGCTAAAGCCCATCGCCTCTCCTCTCTGCCACAGTAAGTTCCAACAAAGTGTCTTAGTCTGCTGGGGCTCTTAACCCACGATACCAACAGAAACGTATTTCTCACAGTTCCGGCTGCTGGGAAGTTCAAGGTCAACGGACTGGCTGACGCGGTGTCTGATGAGAGCCTGCTTTCTGGTTTACAGATGGCGGTCTTCTAGCCTATAGCTTCCCTGGCAGAAGGGGGTGAGGGAGCTTTTTGTAGTCCTTTCTTCCTTTTTCATCAGCGAGAGTCCGATTTGTTGTCTCGCAGTTCTCGACTCAGTGAGGAAAAAAATAGACACAGAAGTCTAGAAGTCTGGAGTCTTTTTCATAAGGGCACTGGTCTCATTCCTGGTTCCTCCTGGATAAACACATCACCTCCAAAATACCCAACTTCCCAATATTATCACTTTTGGGGATTAGGTTTCAAAATATGAATTTTGGGGGGACTCAGACATTCAGTCTATGGTACAAAACAAGTAAATCAGCTACTGTTCTATTTATCTGGGCCTCACAACAATGCTTTGTTATGGTTTATGAGGATTTCTCAATCCCCTAAGCTTTCTCTCTCCTCTTGCTGTCTCCCAAGTAAAACTCACCCATACAGGCAGCTTCTTCCTTCATGGTTTTCCCAACACTAAAGGTCATGTTATATTTCACATGAAGATGGTGATGGTGGGCCTGACTTTCGTTGACTGATTCGCTCAGTGAATAACTATTCAGCACCTACTACGTGCCAGGCCCTTGGATACAGATGTGACATGCCTCTCACTTTCCTCACACCAGACTTAGAGCACCCCACCCTTCTCTCAATATTCATTAGCCTTATGCTTTTATGTCATGTTCACAAAGGATCTCATTTTCCCTAACTGATTCTGAGCTCCTTGAGTGCAGCTTCTTTGGATATGCATAATGAGATACACAAACACACACACACACACACACACACACACACGCTATAATTTTTTAATAAATCACGTAGTGAATAAATGTCTCCATGCCAAAACGAGTGAACAAATGGCTTCTATGCCATTTTTGATAAAATCCTAGTTTACGAAGATTAAGTCATGTTTATTTAACCAAAAAAGCGATCTGTTCAGTAATGTTAGAATTCAAATAATATATTTCAATTATTTTACTACAAATAGGAAAAATTTTTATAAGAACCCACAAAATCCTGACACCACCTCCTCCTTCACTATTTCATTGTTATTTCTGGGCTCTGTGTTTGGGGTTTCTCAAGGCTGTTTCAGCGGGAGGGTTAAGCAGTTACCACAAAGCTATAAAACAGGGACATTGATCTCCATCCCAAAAAAACCCCCCAAAAAAAACCAAAAAAAAAAAAAAAAAAAAAAAAAAAAACAGAAGCCAAAGGATTGGAAATAAAAAAAGATGTTTTTATAACTTACAGAAACTGGGGGCAATATTGGGGCAATAGTCCACCAAAAATAAAGGTCAGAATAATGGTATATGGCAGAAGAAAGCTAAAAGCATAGAATCACAAAATAACTTGAGAGGTCTTAACTTCCCAGCTTTGCATATGACCATGAAAGGTCAGAGTCTGTACTTAGACTGGGAAATGAGGAAATGATTTGTCTGAAGTCCCCCAGCTGGTTAACCGCTGAATCAGGGTCGGACCGTGTGTTTCCAATTTCCACATCAAGGCTCTTTTATGCAAGAGGTGAGATTTCATGCTATTGAAAGTTTAGGCTGCAAATTATGCTTAAGATTCACCTTGTTAGAGTCTACATGTAGCAGAAGAAGTTTAAAGAAGTTTTTCTGTTTTAAAGCCACTCTGTGCTTGTTTGAGTACAACTATCATTAGGCTTATGTAACTAATATTTGTCAGGACCGCCTACGTGTTTTTGAAATATACATACCCTTTCCATGAAACTGTCAGCATCTATATAATTTTTAAGTGCAGGGGAGCACAGCAGTACATATTTATCTAACAAGCGTCCTCACAAGTATAGCTCTGGACTAGAGTTTTCAGATTGTTCTCTTCTGTAGTAAGGAAAGGGGAAAATGCAGCCTAGGGGTTCTGAGCTGGAATTTTAAGCCTAGATGGTTAACTGCAGTGAGATGCAATTTCCTCCTCCCTGTATAAAAGACCGGTTGGCATAAAGGCATACATTTTTACATACAAGCCTGACGTTGCAAGCCTACAATACTAACAAAACCGAAAGTTTTGTTGGTTGTTAACCATTGCGAACTGTTAGCTCTTCACCCTTCTCCTCTGCCACGTTATTCTAGAACACTTCTAAGTTAAATGCAGGAGAATAGCCAATAGGACGCCTGCTGCTTCTTTAGGATCGTGTGTAGCATTTTCTATTTGAAGCCGGGGTTTTAAATTTTCTTTCTAACTATCTTTTATTTTTAAAGATGGTGGGGAGGAGGGGGAGAAATGGTTGGGAGGAAATTTCCCAAGAAGGCGAAGTTAACAGCAAGTTAGAATGATGGCTTGCCAGGGGGGAAGGAAATGGGGAAAGGCTGTAATATGTGAAAAGAGGTGTTTTCAACACAGGAGTAGGAGTCAAACTTCACTTGGTGGAAGGCAGATGCGCACAGGACACATCTTCGGGATGAGGGGAGGAGGTGTGGGTGGTTGAGGAGTCCCTGATACAACTTGAAGGAAGCTGAGTGCTGGGCGTGTAAATACCCCCTGGCAATGAATGTCCTCCAACGCCTGCCTAACGGGATGATTAATTCCACATCGCACTCGATTTGTGAAGAGAGCTTTTGAAAAAAATTAGGACAGTTTGCTTGTGCAAACTGTCAAAATGATGAATGAAATAGGTGTGTACAAATGGGGAAGGGGGGATTGCGGGCATCGATATATTGGCTTATACATTTTAGTTCCCCTAATGTCACGGCCGTGTAGACAGGGCTGAGAGAACGGCCAACTGGAAGATTTGGTTCATTTTCTTAACTGCATATGTAATCTTCAGACTATAATAAGATAGATTACCAAAAAACTGAGATAATCTCATTTCTTCATAAATTGTCTTCCTTCATCGCCTCAATAATACATAACCATGATAATGGGTATTTATAGTGTGTCCCATGCAAGATGGTCTTGGGTTCTTA